CATATATTAATTCTTACGCTTTTATTTTGTGAAACCTTAAACCCAGTTTACTAAGGACAATTTGAGTTTCAGCCAAAATTGAGACACACGTGACTCACTGAGAGGAAAACAGTTGACATAATGAGCCATTTTATTTGGAAAGTTAATTCTTTTCGCAGCCTGCAAAGGTTGCGAACCACTGCTATTGGAAATACACTAGCACATTTGGGTAAATAACTGTACATCATCAGAATGAATGAAATAACCAGGAGTAAGAGATAAAGTAAAGTCTGAAGAAGGAAGTTATTCTTATTAAACTCAGGTTAAAATAGAAATAATACCTTCTGGTTGCTTCAAAAGAAGGCTCAGATTCATTTACACTGCAAGTATGGCAAACAATGTTCATTAATTATGAAGTATAAATATAGAATGAATGTGCATACATATCAGGTAAGAGAGAAAATAAACATTGGACATATTAAAGAGTTAAATTTTCCAAATGGTTTTTAACGTTAATTTCAAAGACAAATTAGATTGATAATATTCTTCTTTTATGTCTTCATCAGCTAGGAAATATTACTTAGTAAGATTCCAAAAGATAGCATTGTTATCTTTCATATACAGTTTTGGTTTCCACAGTGACCTGGGTTCTAGTCTCAACTCTGTTCTAATTAGCTGTAATCTTGGGTAATCTCTTTAGAATATAGTTCCCTAGCCTCATAAGGATTTTATATTTCCAAATCTTACCCACCTTTAAAATTTGAATTTAATCTATTTAAATTTTTAATTAGCTACCCTAAAGCATGAGCAGAAGAAACACTTTTTGGGCTTTAAACATGAAAGGTGCACAAAACACAGCTGACCCTTCAGGAGCTTTTAAAAGATACATGTGCCCAAGAAGTCAAGCTATGACATCTGAGTATAATTAATTACTGATTGATATGATTTATATAAAAAGTGGGATTTAATCACATTTAGTTATTCCTATTTTATAGGGAAAAACACTGGAAGACCCATTTGTTTTATTGTTCTAATTTTTAATAATTTAGGGTCAGTTCAATCCCATCATTCTGAAAGACCTGATTTCAATAACTACAGGCATAATCAAAG